CCCCCCCCCCCCCCCCCTTCCCCCGGTACCGGCAGCACCACTGATGGAAGAAGGCCACGAACACAAGAAACACGAAACAAACAAGAAACGCAGCATCGGCAACAGCCAAGTTGACCCCTAAGCTCACCGCCAAAAATCGATCGTACACAGTGAACACTGTTCAGCAAGAGCTGAATGAGGGCTGGCTGGAGGAGTGTTTCGGGAGTGCGTCAAAGTGATATACCGAGACGGTCGCGATATGCGACACACGCTCCCCCCGTAGCTGTTGCAATGGTCAATTGCTACAGCCAAAGATGCACAATCCGGGTCATGAACATTTGTGCGTGGCAGCAGGTTAAGATGTGGCACAGTAGCTTTTTCTGGGACGGTCAAACTGGATCCACGGAGACCCCGCGGGACTCAGGAGCCTGACCCAAAAACCCCGGGTTGCCAGAAACTCGGGTTTACCGCCAATGATGCATCCCACCTACACCGAGAAGAAAACAGCCAGCAAAAACTCCGCAACATCTGGCTAAATACAACTTAAAAATTGCAAACCCTGCCCCCAGTGATGCTTCCAGGCCACGTGTGGCCCAGCGGAGGGGTGGGAAAATTGCTGACTCGGGAACCAGAAAAGCTGAAATTTTTGGCGAATATTCCCCGTCCAAATAATCGTAAACGCAGTCGTAAAAATAAACTAGTTAACCAAGAAGCAATCGCTGGAACCGCCGAATGCAGTCGGTTCGCATTGTCCATCGCCACGTCTCAGACAGATGCACCCTATTCCAATCAGCTCATACCGTAATCGCGCGCGCGCGCGCGTTTAATCTCATACTTTCAAATACCCTTGTTTTTTTTTTTAGACGGGGAGGTGGGAGTCTCTGTCGCGAATGGAGCCCTTTTTGTTGTACAGGATATGGTGGATCGGGAGAGAGTGTGATATTTCCATTTTCTCCGGATCCTTCGAATTATTCCACAACACCAGCAGGCATCCTGATGCACTCATCGATGCACTATGTGCTACTTATTTACATATCTTTAAGTGTTCAGGCCGCTACCGTAAAAATAACCCATTGTGATTTCGATCAGCTTTTCATGGATCTCCGGCAAAAAACAAGAATTTTGATGGCACATCCTTATACCGTATGACCCTACAATTCTATTTCCCTCCCCTCATTAATCCTTAACACTTCGACTTACTTTCCTCCACTCAAAAATTTCTAACAGTTCCACCAAATTCTAAATAATTCCATTTTACCCATCTTCTCACTCACTAGCTATCCTGCCCTCCTTTTCCCTCCATTAATTTTCCCTATACAAATCCCTTCCTAAAACCCAGGCCCTTAGTTCTGGAAATCAGCAAGCGCCATTTGTCTGCTACGTTCTGCCACTATTCACGCTAGTAGCATCTCTTCTCAACAACACCATGTCCTTTTGCTGAATAGCTTGTTCGGCGCCCCGGCTCGTCGTTTTACGCGTCGTCCCACTCGTCGTTTTGTCTGAAGCGAAGCTCTTGCTGAAGGAATTAGGTGCTGCTATTCTTTCCTGTCTTCTGCTGTTGCAGTCAAGGACTACGTGAGGACTTAACAACCGTCTTAAAAAATTTCAAACTTTGTTTCCGCTTTTCGAGGAAGAAAGTGATGCCATGCGGTTTTTACGTATTCCTGCGCTTCAGTGCACTTGTACCATTTGAGGGCGGAAAGTTAAGATGAACAGATTCTCCGGTATGTTTCCCACACAAGCACTTTTGACTGTGCTAGTTAATCAAATCTAGCAGCTCAAATTCTCCGTTATCGTACTTTGCATCTGACAATAAAACTTTCATTTCAAAAAAAAGCTATGAATCATTTCATGTGCTACTCGTCCAAAAGTATCCCTGTATGGAGAAAAGCTCGTGGCCAATAACCCATTGGCTATTCAAAAACGAAAGTTGCAAATCCACAGGCATGTGTTATCATGTGTTCTGAATTAATCATATTTTTGGACACACAGAAACAAAATACTGAACAATTCGAGAAAAAAAAAAACAATGATCATCTATCTTCCAGCGCCGCGTCGCCCAAAGGGTTTTCTTCCAGGAAGCCTCTTCAGTGTTCTCGTAATTTCTCGTGCTCCACGCCTAAGTTGTTTGCGTTCCTCCAGATGCTGCCTTTGTCGCTCGGCGTAACGTTCTTTCACCGCAGTGGTGCCTTGCGGTTTTAATTTGAACGTTATTTGACGTCCACCAAACGATGTGATCTGTTCGTTATTTGATAGGATGCTATCGTCAGCCAAACATTCACGCTTGCTTCTCAACGTTTCAGCTTCTTCCACCTAAAAAATTCCCTTTAAGAAAAAGATTTTTGACGAACGAACAAAAACCTCAAATTCAAAGAGGGAACTGTTAGGACTGATGATAAGGGATCGATATGACTGTCGCAAAAACCCGCGAAAAGCCGTCTAAGAAGCCGCCACAAAAAAAAGGAAAAAAATAAAGGGACAACTTGTTTTGAAAGACAGATACACGGCAGATGTGTTGCCAAGCCGAACCAGGAGCACAAGGACCGGTGGTGTAGTGGTAACACATTGCGTCTGGACGTGGAAAGGGGTGGTTCGATTCCACCCCGCTCCCTCGGTCCACAACAATTTTCGAGAAAGGGCTCCGTTCACGACAGTAACTATTCATGTACAATGATGGATATATTTGAAAGCTGTCTGTGATTTTCATCCGTTAGCTGTAAACACTGAGCACAGCGTATAGCTAGGAGCCGGAATCGTCAACAGCGATTTTTAAAATGTTATTACTATCACACCAAGCACAAGATGTTGAACTCTGGTCTGTACTATAAAACTAACAAACGCATGCAACTTAAAACAAGGGCAACACTAAACTAGCCTTTTCTTGCGCGACTTTTTGCTCTAAATACTGTGTAGCATCTTCCCCAGCTTCAAGCTCGATCAATTCGAATCCCTTTGGTTGACTGACTTTCCGCGACTCCAACTTTCTCCGAGACAATTCCTCCTTCTGGTCCTCGTCACGTTTTCCGATATCAGTAGCATCCTGAAACAAAAAAAAAAAAGACCAAAGTATGACGAAATGCAGATGATAATAATAAAAAATAATAAGTGACGATAATAACGATAATAATGATGACGACAACAATGGAGTAACAACTCAATCCATAAGAATGAAGTGAAACGTCACAAAACTGCATGTAGACAGAAAAAAGGATTGGCCATTATTTTTTGACCATTTTCTTTTATTACTTTTGTTCAACGGTTTGTTATTTCCTGTTGGTCGTCTGCAAAATTCCTCGTGTAGAAAGCAAGCTCAAATAAGAAATATTCCGAGCAAAAAAAGGCCAGGTCTCAGTCGCTTCAATATATTTTTTCATATTTTAATAAAAACAAACAGACAAATGACGCTTGGAATTAGTCACCTGAGACATGCTTTCCACGTTTTCTTCCTTTTCACTGCTTTCATTTTCATCAACATCGCTTCTACTTTGATCCTCATCACTCTCATCATCATCATCGCTAGTGCTACTACTAGCACCCACGTCCGAATCATCCACAAATAGGCTACTCTGCACTTCCGGCTGAAAATCGCTACTAAGAAAACAATTTTCTTTTAGCAAAGATAGCGACACGAAGCATTACTACAAAAATATCAGAAAATTAGGGATATGGTTAGCAAATGACAAATCGGAGAAGGGCCTACTCTAGAAACTGGAACCATTTTGCCAAATCTTTTCTTCAGATAATTCCTAGGCTCCAATTCTTCGGCTTAATGACAGTTTCGTGCTCCTTTCCAGCGCAGTGTTTTGCTGAATTGCTTTTTTTTTTTTATTCTAGGAACGGACGATCTCTAGCGTATATGTGCAAGGATCCCAGTAACATCACTAACATGGAATACCCACTAACAGTCCGGGTAGTTTTGCTATTTTTTCAACTAATTTTGGCATCATCTAACAGCTAACTTGGGGATGCTCACTTCCATAGAATTATACAGATGATCAGAAGTTGAACGAATTGCAGTCACATTTCATTCTCCATAAAACTGGAAAGCAGTCCCCCCCCCCCC